TATCATTTTTGTTTTAGTGGTACAGTCGATTTTTCGCAGTCTAGCTTTGCAAATGGCCCATAAATTTTCAATGGGGTTGAGGTCGGGCGAATTACCGGGCCAATCTAAAACATTAATCTTCTTATTTTTGAAAAATGCCATCATTTCCTTTGATTTGTGACAGGGAGCAGAGTCCTGTTGAAGAATCGCTCCTCCTTGGGGTTGACATTTTTGGAGTTGTTTGTCCAAATACTTTTCCAACATGGATTTGTATTTTTGGCTGTTCATCATGCCTTCAATTGGCACCAAAGATCCAACCCCCATGTATGAAAAACATCCCCAAAACATTTTCTTGACTGGATGTTTTACGGTTTGATCAATATGAGATGGTGTAAGCTTTTCATTGTCAGACTTCCTGACGAATTTCGACCGCTGTCCCTGAACTATAAAGTGGGTTTCATCTGTAAATAGGACTTTTTTCCAGTCGCCTACAGTCCAATTAGAGTATTTTTTGGCCCACAGTAGCCTTTGTTTCTTCATTCGTTCAGTTAGAAGCTGTTTTTTCTGTGGACGAATTGCCCTTCTACCATTCTCCAAAAGTCTTCTACGAACAGTTGAGTCATGGATCACTATAGCTGACGCTGCTAGATCTTGTTGTAGGAAGAATAGAACAATCCTCCGTGTTGTTCTATTCTTCTTGCCATTTTTCAATTGACCTTTCCTTTTTCTGTCTTCTATCGGCCACAGTAAAGTTTGGGCCTCTTCTCTCATATAGATCTTTTCTCTCCGCCGCCAAAACATGAAACGAAACACATCCAGCGATGGTCCACAAGGCTGCCGCAGACACAGTCCAGTAGGCGCATGCCACACGCAACAGACTTGTTCTATCCATCATCATTGTCATGAGCCTCCTGTAGGCCGTTATCTCTACCACTTTGGTCCAGACTGGTGCCGCGTAGAGGACGATCGATTGTACAACACCGTGTAAGACTCTCCTCCTTTCGGATTTGGTTCCTTAAATGTTGGGCATCACCCTTTCCAACTCAGCCGATATATTCGCAGCCTTCCTGATCACCTCCCGCACGTGCTCCCCCATTTTCCATTCTGGTGCAATGTCACTCCTAGGTACTTTACTTGTTTCTTGGGTGTTAGACATGCTCCCGCATATTATAATTCAATACTTTGCCTGTTCCTTGTCCCTTCAGAATGATGGCTTCGGTTTTCTCTGTCGCAAGTTTCAGTCCGTGCTGCGTCATCCATTTCTTTATGACGAGGCCTGCGTTCCGAACCCGGTATTTGAGATCTGGCTTAATGCCAGAAATGCTTAATTTTGTAGCAATAAATAATAATTTCGAAAATATTTTAAATATTTGGGATGGCCCGTTTTCTATGACGCGCACTGTACTTATTATAATATAACAATATTTAGAGTGTCACCATGTCCTGATAAGTATACAGTTTTTCTAGTGATCTTGAAAGTTTGCCCTTCACCTACGCGAAGGATCTTTTTGTGCGGCGATGACTGTGTCATCTGCGTATATGAATTGTATGGTTTACAATGTATTGGGTGGTTGTTTGTGGAGATGTTGAATACAAGGGGTGCCAGCACACTACCTTGAGCCAATCCGTTCTGCTGTGCTGTTCAGCGGCTATTTCGACTTTACGAGTGTAACATAAAAGTTATTTGTCATGAGATTTTTTAATAAAAATTCTTATTGTTTGGGAAAGTATGTGCGAATTCATTTCATAAACGTAATGTAATATATATGTATAATTAATGTATGTATTAATCAAAATATATATAAAAGTATTTTACCTACTGAAATTATGAATTATAAAAATAGAAATAATTTTAAAAATTGCTATGTAAATATGATCCAATTTAATTATGTAAATTAAAATTTAAAATAATGTTCGAAGGACCGAATTAGATTTAAATTGAAAAGAAACAAAAAAAAACAATTAATTAAAATGAATTAATTGAAACACAATGAAATTAATTGAATCAAAGTTATAATTATTTATAATCCGGCTCGAAGTGATCAAAATGTTTAGGATTAAACTTGAGAGGTCGCTGGTTAAATTATATCAGATAAATAATTATAACGAAAAATGCAATAGTGGTTGGTACACTATTCCGAGCTCCTTCTACTATCATTATTTTTGTCTTACTCCTATTTAGCATTAGTCCATATGTTTTGCTTTTCTCCTCCAGACATCTCATTATGTCTTCCATTTCTTCTTGATTTGCCGCGAATATTAAAGTATCATCAGCATATCTCAAGTTATGATTTTTTGACCTTCTACTGATATTCCATCCTTCCATCCATCTAGTACCTTTCGCATAATGTGTTCGCTGTAGATATTAAATAGAGTTGGCGAGATTATGCATCCCTGCCTGACACCTGCCTCTGTTCTGAAATGATCGGAATGGGTGTTGTTTATTTTTACTGTGCACTTATTATTTTCATATAGACTTCTAATTAGTTGAATTAAGTGGTGGGGTGTTCCCATTTCCGCTAGTATGGACCATAGCTGCTGCCATTTGACTTTATCGAAGGCCTTTGTGTAATCCACAAAGCACATAAGCATAGGAGTATTGAATTCACGAGTTTTTTCGATTAGCTGTCTGACATTAAGGATGTGTTCTCTTGTGCCTTTTCCTGGGACAAATCCCGCTTGTTCTTCTGATATCTGAGGCAATAGAAAAGCTTTTAGTCTTTCATGTATTACATGAAGTAGAACCTTGCTTGCATGGGATATTAGGGTTACCGTTCTGTAGTTGCTGCAATCTAGCGGAGTTCCTTTTTTGAATATAGGGATGAAAGTGGATGTTGTCCAGTCGTTGGGCCACTCTCCGGTTTCCCAAATCTTTTTGCAGATCATATGCATAACATTTACTCCAACATCTCCAGTCTCTTTTAAAACTTCTGCGGTGATCTGGTCTGCGCCAGGAGATTTTCTATTTTTTAACTTTTTGATTGCTTTTTCTACCTCTGACTTTAGAATGTTTGGTTCTCTCTCTGCAGTGAACTCGTCGTGATTTGCATTCTGGGATCATCTGCATATAGACTTTGACAATATTTTCTCCATACCTCCACAATCCCTTTCTCGTCATTTATAATATGTTGGTTTTGATCCATTATTGTTTGTGTGATTGGTTTAAATTTCCTGGATAGGGGACACACATTATATTCCTCGTTAATTTTTTGATAGTTTGAAACAAAACAAATATATATATCTTGTATCTTGAATTGTATATATTTTTCATTTTTATTTAATTGTATCTCTAAGCCTCTAAGCCAATATATTTTAATATTATTTTTGTATATTTTTGCTTTATTAAATTTTAGGAATCGGTTTCGTAATGATTCGGTTTTTAGTTACTTTATTTCTTTTGCTTAGTCTCAACATCGTTTATGCCATCTATTGTATTTACCTGTTTTAGAAATTTCTTCTGCCTCTCATTTGTCATAAACTGAATTGAACTGGACTCATGTGAGTCCACTCTTGATTTGTGAAATTTTCCCAAGTATAACAGTTGACTGCTATTTATACGTTAGATATTTTTCAAAAAAGTGTTTCTATTTCTATTAGAAGTTATATGTAAATAAATTATTAGTTATTGGTATACAGGGTGCAACACAGAACATTTAGCAAAACTGTAAGAAAATATTACATTGAATATGTTTCAAATTTGTTTTTCTAGTTAAAGAGGATCGCTTTAAATTGTAAATTATTATATTTATTTCACTTTTTATATTTTCTATCTGCATTATATCATTAACTGTAAAAATATGAAATGAATTCGCACATACTTTCCAAAGACTTATTACATAATTATTTTTATTAAATTATCTCTGAAAAAAATTCTAAAATTGTTGGCACATATTCATACTCATTTACGAAATAAGTAGCTCCTAACGGATAACATTGCGATATTTATGCATGCTTCATTAATTACCATAAGGCGTTCGATACAGTAAAAACGACAAGCTGATGGAGATATTAACAGATATTGGAATAAATACCTGTGATCTAAGAATTATTAGCAATCTTTACTGGAATAAAACATCGTCTATCGTACAGAGGCAGGAGAATCCGATGATATCAAAATCAAACGTGGGGTCCGACAGGGATGTATACTATCACCCTTGCTGTTTAACATATACTCTGAGGAAATCTTTCAAGAAGCAGTAGAGGATGTTGAAGCATAGAGAATGTATCAATAACAAGATACATGGATGACACGATGGTATTCGCTGACAGTTATGAAGCCCTCCATGAGTTAATGAATAGAATCACAGAAGTGAGTCAGAGATATGGACTTTCACTGAACATTAAGAAAACAAAATGTATGAAGATCTCTAAGAAGGAACAGCAAATTGAAAGAATCAGTGTGAATGGTCAACCAATAGAAAGAGTAAAAACATACACCTACCTTGGTACGAACGTCAATGAAAATTGGGACCATTCTCTAGAAATAAAATGTAGGATAGAGAAAGCAAGATCTGCATTTCAAAAAATGGCTAAGCTATTCAAATGCCATGATTTATCAGTACCCATAAAAATCAGGTTACTACGATGTTATATCTTTTCTATACTGTTGTACGGAGTTGAGTCGTGGACTCTCACAGACGCTACCTGTAAGAAAATTGAGGCTTTAGGAATGTGGCTTTATCGTGGAATCCTGAAGATATCCTATACCGACAACGTTACACATAATGGGAAACAGCGAAAGATATGGATTGCTGCAATTAAATCTATAAGGAAAAGTAGAAGGAAAACGAACACCGGAAGGCGAAGGAATTTCTGGCTGAAAAATCTACGTACATGGTTTAGACAACAACCATAAAGCCACATCTACTGTTGTTAGACAATAAAAAATGTGGTATAATAAGTAAATAAGATACACTTGCAGCTTGGAGAAAAAAATAATGAGAGACTTGTCTAGTAGAGTGCTCAGTCACCTCTCTCCACAATAATTTCCTGTAATATCGCTAAATTGAAAATGGTTAAGCTTACTCACCTCTTTCCCATACAACGGCTTCCACAGGATGACCAGCAAATGGACAGTGCACGATCAAGGTACCTCCGGCAACGATAGCCTGCTTCTCCATACTCCTGACGAACGGTAATCCGTACACGTTAATACGAGCCGAATGATCTGCCGAACCCACTTTGCTGCTAGCCACGCACCTGTACAAACCACCATCATTGGTATGAATCGAACTGATATTTAGATGAGACACTACATCACCATTCACTGTAACATATTGGCCGATTTGATACACATCACTATTCGCGAGCCGACGACCGTACAGTTCCCACGTGATTTCAGGAGTAGGATTGCCGGATGCGATGCACTTCATGAAGACGGAGTTACCTAAAACAAATAAAATGTATGAATATACAGATTGAACGAAATAAATTCGGAACATACGAAATATTATGTATTTCGGCTCAATTCTGCTGTAGGTGGTTGACCAACAAAAGGTTGTCAAATAATTATATTATAAAAATCCAATACTTCAGCGGGCTGCTGGATTCTGAAATCATAAAAATTGAAAGCTACACATAAATCTACGATTTTATTATGCTGTCAAACCACTTATAGTCCAGGAAATGAAGCATTTCACCTCGCAATTTTTTCGTCCTGCGTGGATTGACTTGAAATTTTAACAGAAGGTAGGTAATAGCCAAGGATCAAAATCTATATCGAACCAAAGTGCGCCAAAGCCTTGGGGGTGGTTGCCACCCCATCTCGGGGGTGAAATTTTTTTTTACGTTTTAACTACAGGTTTCGATTAAAAAAGTGATTCTAAACAAAAAATGTTCTATACATTTTTTTTTGTAAAACTGATATTTTTCAAGTTATTCGCGATTGAAAGTAACAACTTTTAGACGAAAAAATCGACGTTTTTAATCGATTTTTCGCGAATAACTCGAAAATGGTGCATTTTATCAAAAAAATTGTAGAGAACAAATTTGTAGCTTTTAAAAAGACAAATACAATTCATTTTTTAAAATGTTTTTGCGATATAACAGGAACCGAAATACGGCCTATCAATGTTCAGCGGTTTTCTTCAAATGCCAAATTTGAAAGATTCAAAGTCAAATATCGGGAAAATGATGCATTTTTGGAAGAAAACTCACAGAACCTTTTTTAAAGAGCATAAATAGACCTATCATAAAAAAAGACTCTAGCTCAAAAATTGAGTGAGTTATGATGAAAATAAGGTCAATACCTCATTTTTTTACGAAAAAATCGATGAAAACAACCCCCTAACCACCCCATAATTAAAATCGATCTTCACCCTTCTGCAATTCTCTTTGTACATGTATTGTTAATACGTCCAAGAAGTTTGACCCATTTAAAATGCTTAGTTTTAGAAAAAGTACAGCATAAAGCGAGAAACGATTTACAATTTCATATTTTTTACCCTTCTTTTTTTAAATATCCCCGAAAATACTGAATATATGAAAAAAATAAAAATGTACTAAATTGTAGCTTTTTTAATGACTAAAATTTTCCTTTATTTAGATTTGTTGTACAATGAATATTTGGCGAGATATAGCCGTTTAAAGCATCGATTTACGATCAAGCACCATCTTTTTCGAGCCCTTTAAACTCACCCCATTTAAAAACCAAGGGTTCCAAAAAGATTTAATTCACAGATCCTTGTAGCTCTTAAAAACCTCTACAAAATCGTTTTTGAAGAAACACTCTATCGTTAAAAATGAAGGAAATACGTTAAAAAAACCAATTAATTTTTTTTCCGGAAAATTCCATTAGTATAGTACAGTACATTTCGGAGCATAATAATCTACAAAACCGGTATATTAGGTAGTGGGGCGTTATACATTCGAAATTTTAAGCGTTCTTATTTTGAAATCCCATACAACAGAATAAAACATCTGCTCATATGTCTATGGCTTGGCAATGAAAATATCAGAGCAACAGATTGGGGATGGTATTCCAAAGATGGTTTGTTATTACCCGTACGCATGAACAAACAACCTGCACCCGATGAACTTTTGAAAATTATTTTTTGCCAATGCAAAAAAGGATGCGGCGTTTCATGTGGGTGCAGAAAAGTTGGTTTATACTGTAACTCTACTTGTTCTGGGTGCTCAGGTGAAGGGTGCAATAATAGTCCACCAATAATTGAAGAAGATGAGGATGACATAGATCACGATGAAGATGTAATTGATGACGAATAAAATTAATATTATAATTGTTTTACCTATAAATGTAAATATTTTCAACTATTTATGTAAATGTATAAGAATATATGGTGCCTTTTTATGTTGATAAATTTTTTTGTATTTAATTCTACTTTTTTCAATTTATATCTATTAAATTAGTTTATAAAAACTGCAATGTTGTAAAGGGTGATTTTCAAAAGTTGAAAAGTTGCAAAATTTTGGCAAAAAATTGTTTTCACCTATAGCACTCATAACAATTGATTTTTAAGGGTTGAAAATGTATGAAATTGTATTTTAAAGTATAAAAAAATCACTATTTAACTAATCCAAACCAAATTTCACTCATCTTAAGATTTGTAATGTTATTTTACAATTTTTGAAAATTAGGGGTAGTTTTCACCCCTAAGAACAATCAGGGTTCATCGGCATGACATAAACTATAAAGCAGAGGGTGAGTTGAGCTTAATTCCAAATTTTTATGCAAATCGTTCCAAGGCGAAATCATTTTCTTCGCATTACTACTTTTTTTTACATTAATCTCTAACAAGGGTCGCTTTTTAAGGGTTGAAATATGATGGAACTTTATTCAAAAGCACGAAACTATCATTATTTAATTAATTCAAACCAAATTTTACCCATATTCAGGTTTAATATGTTATTTTATAATTTTTGACAATTAGGGGTAGTTTTCACCCCTAAGAACAAACAGGGTTCGTCGACATGACATAAACTATAAAGCAGTGGGTGAATTGAGCTTAGATTCAAATTTTTATCCAAATCGATCCAAGGCGAAATCATTTTTTTAGAATTAGTAATTTTTTTACATTAATCTCTAACAAGGGTCGCTTTTTAAGGGTTGAAATATAATGGAACTTTATTCAAAAGCACAAAACTATCATTATTTAATTAATTCAAACCAAATTTTACTCATATTCAGGTTTAATATGTTTTTTTATAATTTTTGACAATTAGGGGTAATTTTCACCCCTAAGAACAATCAGGGTTCGTCGACATGACATAAACTATAAAGCAGTGGGTGAATTGACTTAAAATCCAAATTTTTATCCAAATCGATCCAAGGCGAAATCATTTTTTTAGAATTAGTAATTTTTTACATTAATCTCTAACAAGGGTTGCTTTTTAAGGTTTGAAATATGATGTAACTCTATTCAAAAGTATAAAATAATCATTATTTAACTAATTCAAACCAAATCTTACCCATATTCAGGTTTAATATCTTATTTTATAATTTTTGACAATTAGGAGTAGTTGTCACCCCTAAAACCCTTCAAAAAAAAATGGCCCATGGCAACTGTAATCTATACAGATGCATCCAAAACATCGGAAGGGACCGGATGTGCTTTCTACATTCCATCCAAGTCAATGGAAAAAATGTTCAAACTACCTCTCAATTACTCAATTTTTAGTGCTGAAGCACTTGCAATTCTTGAAGCCTTGAAATATTTCGACAGTTTAAACAATAATGCAGTTTTAATAATATCCGATTCATTATCAGTTTTATTATCTCTCAAAAATACAAAGTTGCCCAATTATAATTCTAATCCTTTTATTTACCAAATTAAGAACATGCTTGTCAACCTTAAAAATAAAAATAAAACTACGAATTTTATTTGGGTAAAGGCTCATGTTGGTATAAAACATAATGAGCATGTTGATTCTATTGCAAAAGCTGCAATAACCTCGACAGCTGAAATTTTACCAGATGAGAGAATTTGTGTTCCTGATGCTTTTCTCATCTCTAAAAAAAATCAAACAGATCGTTGGAACACTTCCTGGCAAACTTTTTGCGACCATTCAACAACACAATACGTGCATATACAACCACACATCCCTAATTCCAGATGGTTTAAGAATTTCAATACCGCTCGTAAATATACAACAACTTTAATAAGATTGAGATTTGGCCACGCTTGTTATCCTGTTCATCTTGCTCAAATTAAAATATACAATTCAGACTTATGCGAAACTTGTCAAGAACAAGGAGATCTTAACCACATCTTTTTTAAGTGTTCCAAATATCTTCAGCATTCAGGAACTCTTTTAAACAACTTACAATCTCTGCAAATATTTCCTCCATATCACATAAATAACCTGTTGGCTACTAATAATAAAAAAGTCTATGATTGTTTGATTAAATTTATACATAGTGCAAATGTGTGTCTGTAGTCAATCTTAGCTAAGCTCGTTAACCTTTGTTTTAACCCAATTGTTGTTTACCTTTCTTTCCGTGACCTATTGCTAGTAATGTCTTAAACAAATGTCCTGATGGGTCCCTGGACGAGAAGTGAGTATCCCTGTTTTTCCTTATATTTGTTTTTTCTTGCTATAATTTTCTCTTTTTATTTGATTCAGTTATAGGGATTTTATACGGTTTTTTGACTCGAATAGACACACTTTTTGCACTATAGATTATACACTTATGTATGTATACACTTGTATATGTACACTTATGTATGCACTTATGTGTATGCATACATTTTATTTTTTTTATTTTTTTTTAGTATTAATTATATTGGAATATTGATATTATTAATTTTTCTTTTATTATTTCTCTATACGTAATTGGCTAAATAGCTAAGTGTTAAAGCCACATAAAAAAAAAACCCTTCAGCGCACTTCGGTTCGATATAGATTTTGATCCTTGGGCTGTCACCTACCTTCTGTTAAAATTTCAACTCAATCCATGCAGGACGAAAAAATTGCGAAGTTTTAACTTTTTTCGAGCTTCATTTCCTGAACTATTATCGCTTCCTTTACGCAAACAACATTGCGAGACAGATAGTTGAACGATATTTTATACAATGTCTATACCCAGGTATGGATTTATTTTTGTCCAAGTTTTATATTGGTCCACTATTTCAAATGCAGTTCAAACAGACATATATTAAATTGTATGATCAATTTTAAATTCGTTCAATCTGTATATCAAATATCTAATCTAATAAAAGACTAGGAAAACAGGTCAAGCAGAAACGCAGTTTGTCCGGGACGATAACTCCTAGCACCACCTAGGAAAGAAATCTAAACTCCTAACTAACATTTCAACCGTAATCAATCCGTCCATTAAATTGATTCAACTTTTTTCTTACATTAATATTTTGGAGTATTTTCCTTTAATTTTTGTTAATATTTAGTTACTGAACCTTGACATATTATTTAATTCTAATGCGATAGGAAGTTCGCGGGGTCAGCAAGTTCTATATGAATAATAGATCTATTTAATTAAAGTAATTGTTCCAATACCTGACTGAACAGTTTCTTCGTTGAAAGCGTGCCTGATTTGGGGTGGTTCGAATCGTCCTCCTAGTTTCAGCTCCGCCGTAGCTTCCGCACTTTCCTGGTCATTCCTGATGAAGCACTGGTACATTCCTTTATCTTCTTTGCGCACAGCTTCAATTTTAAGAACTGGATCGCTGTGGTCGATTGGGTTGCCATCTTTCAACCAGCTGACAGTCTTGATGGGATTACCTGAAACGAACAAATGAGAACATATTGAGAACACAAATTTATGTAACAATGATTCGTCTGTCACTCAGTATACTAAGCCCCCAGATAACTTTACTTATACACTGTTTATTGTTCACGGCACTACTGTACAATACTGGAAAGAAAGTATAAAAAATAGATAAAAATTGACAAACCGAACAGATACTAGCCCTAAGAAAAGCTAAGAATAACAAATCTCCAGACGAAGATTGTGTAGTTACTGATGCAATCAAAATCGGAGGCACTTGCTTATTTAAGAAAATAAAAAACATTTTTAACATGTGCCATTTGGACAGTAATATACCCGACAAATGGCACAATGCTGAGGTAATTCTATTGTACAAAAAAGGAGATCCCATGAATTAGAAAACTACAGACCTGTAAGTCTTCTTAGTCACCTATACAAACTCCTTACAAGAATAGTAACGAATCGTCTTGAGAAAAAACTTGATTTCTACCAGCCAATAGAGCAAGCGGGATTTAGTACCGGATTTGGAACAAATGATCACCTACAGAGCATTAAAACGGTAATAGAAAAGACTATCGAATACAATCGACCACTCGTTCTGGCTTTTGTAGATTTCATAAAGCCTTTGACACGGTAGAATTTGACAAAATCCTGGAAGCACTACAAGCATGCCGCATTGACTACCGATATACAAGGTTAATTTACAATACATACAAGAACGCAACTATGTCGGTGAAACTACATAAAAACACGGATCATATCCCAATCGGCAGAGGAGTCCGACAGGGTGATACCTTATCGACTAAACTGTTTACCGCAGTACTAGAATATGCTTGTAAACAACTTAACTGGGAAGAGAAAGGCCTGAACATTGACGGTAGAAGATTAACAAATTTGAAATTCGCAGACGACATAGTTTTGTTCTCGGACAACTCAAGGAGAATATGTACAATGCTACATGAACTTCAGTTAATGTGTGCCAGTGTGCGTCTTAAAATAAACATCTCTCTCTTCAATCCTGACCCCCAGGGGGAGTATAGTGGTCGACGTGATGTCGTGTATTGTCCGTCTCCAGAGATCTCTGTCTCTGGTCATTTCTTTTAATTCATGCATAGGTCTTTGGCAAATTCCTGTAATTTGATCTATCCATCTTGTTGGGGATCTTCCTCGCGATCTTCGGCCTTCTACCTTTCCTTGTATTATGAGTCTTTCCATGTTTTCTGTGTTTGCTCTCATAACATGCCCAAAATATTTTAATTATTATTTAACTGGGAATAAGCCACAATTAAAGATAAAAATACGTTTATTGACGTTTCAATTTCCACTTCGGAAATCGTTCTCAAAATACAAACAGTATTTTGAGAACGATTTCCGAAGTGGAAATTGAAACGTCAATAAACGTATTTTTATCTTTAATTGTGGCTTATTCCCATTAAATAGTAATTAATTTACAATGCTACAAGAAAATAGCTTCAAAATATTTTAATTAAAATATTTTGGGCAAAAAATAAACATATCCAAAACAAAATTCATGACAAAACTAGTAACCAGCGGAAATATATTGGATACAACGAAGTAGAGCTGGTGGAAAAATACATACACCTTGGACACGAAATAAAATTACAAGAGACAACCAAACATGCGAACTAAGAAGAAGAATAAACCTAACCTGGGCAGCCTATGGAAAATTCAAAGACATCTTCAAAAGCGATAGACCTATTTCTTTAAAACGTAAAAGATTTGACCAATGTTTATTGCATGTGATGACCTATGGTGCCGAAACTTTTACATTGACAGCTATAATTTCTAAAACGCTGTAAATAGCTCAGAGGAAAATGGAAAGGTCAATGCTGAATATATCGCTTCATAACCAAGTCAGAAATAAAAACTTAAGAGGAAGAACAGGAGTTACCGATGTAATTTCCCGAATTGCCACACTGAAATGGAACTGGGCCGGACACGTCCGGCCTCTAGAGAAGAAGTAGAGGGAGACCCTCACTCGTTGGACTGACGATCTCAAGAAAATGTGAAGAAATTGGATGAAAAGTGCACAAGATGGATTACAATGGACAAAAATGAGGAAGTCCTATGTCCAGCAATAGACGCAAAGGGATGGGTGATGATGATGAAACAAATACTAAATTCACAGACGAAAGATTAAGAGTCGTGCTTAATGAAACAGACATAAAATGCCTAAACCCTGGATTGAAGAAGAAATAAATGACGATGAAGGAATCATAAAAACAAAAAATTTTAGCAAGAATAAAAATATAAGTTCGGAAAATGTTCTGATAACTTCTATTTGATTTAACCCCTTACCACATAGTGGGTCATATATGGCACAATATTTAGTTTTATATATAACCGTTAGAGATACAATCTTATTTTAAAGTATTTTTATACATGACATGTGCATATAGAGCACATATTTTGTATAACCGATAATAAAGCGCCATCTCAATGCAGCAAACTGAACTTTTATGAAAATTTGCTAATATTGAATTATCAAAGTTTGTACTGAATATTTTTGTACAACAAAAATAGGGACATCAAGGATATACGTAACAATAAAACACTGAAAACTTTGTTTTAAAACTTCCACAAAATTTATTTTAAATCTTATCACTACAGCTGTTTCGGCTTATTGTCTTTCTCAAGTGATCTATTTTTGGCTTGGGTTTACAAATTTATAGTCTCTAATGAAATAGGTTGAGGAGGGGAGAACTGTTTGTCTCAAGTTGGTCATTCAGAATTATATCTGTGTTTTTTAATTTGTTGATTTCCATAGATTCTAACAAAGATAGCTTAAGGCCTTTATTTTGAATGTGAAGAATTTTAAATTTGTCATTAAAAGAATGATTATGATCTAGAAGGTGAAGTGCGTATGTCGAATCTGTTTTTCTATTCTTGAAAGCCCTTTTATGTTCTGCTATTCGTTTATCAAAGTTTCTACCAGTTTGACCGATGTAAGTTTTTGGGCAGTCGCCACATTGAAGTTTGTACACACCACTATTTAAGTGTTTTTTATTTTGGCTCTTGTTATTTTTAATATATTTGCCTAGGTTGTTATTTGTTCGGAAAGCTGGTGTTATTCCTTTCTTTTTTATGTGTTTGGCAATTATTGTTATTTGCCTGATATGTAATCGAGCAAAGAGCCAAAATAAAAAACACTTAAATAGTGGTGTGTACAAACTTCAATGTGGCGACTGCCCAAAAACTTACATCGGTCAAACTGGTAGAAACTTTGATAAACGAATAGCAGAACATAAAAGGGCTTTCAAGAATAGAAAAACAGATTCGACATACGCACTTCACCTTCTAGATCATAATCATTCTTTTAATGACAAATTTAAAATTCTTCACATTCAAAATAAAGGCCTTAAGCTATCTTTGTTAGAATCTATGGAAATCAACAAATTAAAAAACACAGATATAATTCTGAATGACCAACTTGAGACAAACAGTTCTCCCCTCCTCAACCTATTTCATTAGAGACTATAAATTTGTAAACCCAAGCCAAAAATAGATCACTTGAGAAAGGCAATCAGCCGAAACAGCTGTAGTAATAAGATTTAAAATAAATTTTGTGGAAGTTTGAAAACAAAGTTTTATAAAGTTTGAAAACAAAGTTTTATAAGGATATACCTTCACGAAAGAATTTCTGTAAGTATTTTCACGTATTTCTTTATATTTTGGTATTTTTTGATCAAAAATATGCTTGTGTCATATATCCAAAATATGCACTGTCGTGAAAAACTCTCTTTCATATATGGCACAATATGCGTAACCCTAGGTATTATTATTTTTTATTTTAGATAATGGATCCAAAAAAGTTTTATGTGAAACTTTTGTGGTAGTGGACATACCAGATGGTAGTGACGACGAAGGGCTATCAGATGATGATATGTCCCCTATTATATTAGCCCCAGAGTCAGTCTATGAAGATGATATAATAGATAATAATGAATTAGATACTATTATCCCAGAAACGGATTTAGAAAGCAGTTGGAATAAGCGAAGATGATATTTCTTTGACGAGTTACGACGTAATTAATAAAAATAGAATAAAAATCATCCAACTTGGAAAGATGGAAATTTGGTAACATCAGATGATGATAAAGATTTGTCGGTTCTACTGACCTGCACCTGAGTTGCAACAAGCGAATTCCCCTTCCGCATTTTAAAATTTTTTTTAACAAATGAGATGATTAAAGATATAGTTTATCAAACTAGATTATATTTAGTGGCAAAAGACCTCAAAAACCTTTGAAACTTTCTGAAAATGAACTAGAACAGAACTCCAGCCTGAATCATTGATTGATCTCAGATGTTATGACATGTAATAAATGGGAAGAAATAAAACGTTTTTTACATTTTGCGAACAATAACGATGCTATTGCTGTCGGTAATCATGGTCATTATAAACTTTTTAAAATCCGCTACTAAATAAACTAAGGAATCAGTTACTCAAAGTTCCGAAAGAGGAAAAAACCTCCACAAATGGGGATATAAGATGTTTGTTCTCAGTGAGGTCAGCGGATTTTCCTACGATTATGAAAATTTTGTAGGAAGCCAAACTAATATTGTACCCGATGGTTTTCCTGATTTAGGAATAAGTTCAAATGTTGTTATTCGACTAACACAACAGTACAAGACTTATAAATCACAAAATATTCTTTGATAATTGGTTCAACAGCGTTCCATTGCAAATTATCTAACGAAACAGGTAAGTTACCACTAGGAACAGTTAGAATAAACAGAGTGCCAAACAGTAATATGCCAAAAGAGGCTGAATTAAAAAAAACGGCCGAGGAGCTAGGGTAGAGAAAGTGCCACAATTGATGGTACAAAAATATCTTCCGATTTCCAATCTCCATCTAATTCTATCGTTCCATAGATCGTCCTCCAGTTCTCTTTCCCTGATTTCTTTATCAACTCCTTCTCTCCAACTTCTTCTAGGCCTTCCTGGTCTCCGCCTACCTCTTGGTTGCCATTCAAGAATTTGTCTTGGTATTCTATTCTCCGGCATTCTCTTTACGTGTCCGTACCATCTGAGTTGTGTCGTTTTGATGTCATCAACAATATTATGTGTAACCCCATGATTTTTCGGTCTCTTTCGTTTGTTATTCTGTCGCGTCTAGAGATTCCCGCCGAGCGGCGCCAGAAGTCCATTTCTGTTGCTCTAAGCATTTTCTCTGTTCTGTCTTTTAGTGGCTTCCCACGATCGGCGATTCTACAGATCATCGCGGACAGCCGATCAGCACGGACGAGAACGCACCGCAGACAGAGCTCTTCCTACGGTCCGTGACAGTCTGTGTAGGTCCGTGACAGTATTGTTTGATTATATCATAAAAAGGCCACTCAGGCTTGTAAACATTAAATTCGGCATTAAATTATTTCTCTTCTTTTTTAATTCTTTAATCGAAATAGTACTATTCTTCAATTGATTTTTTATTCGGTTCCATACATCGTATATATCGGTTCCGTTTCTTATGCTCTGGTGCCGTAGAATTCCATAAATTTGTTTATTTTGATACAAATTTAAAAAATCAAAAATAACTTCGTTTGTCCATTCCATTTTTTAGCAAAAAACTGCAAAACAACTTTGACAACACTACAGACAACTACTCGTGTCAGCGAATGAAAAACTTCTGACTTGCACTTGTCGTCTGTTAAAACACAGACGCGCTAGGATCACACATAAGCGGACCAGCACAGACGTGCCTGCGCTACCACGGACGAGACCCTTCCCACGGTGCGTGATGCGTGCTGGTCCGCTTACGTCCGTAATATCGCCGACCGGGGAAGCCTTTTAGGGGCACACTTCGCATCCATATGTTGTGATACTTTTTATTATGGTGTTGTATATGTGAAGGTAAACGGTTTTCGAAAAAGGATAAGACACATATAATGGTTCCATGTCCAAAAGCTGTAATGATTTACAAGTATATGGGGGGAATATATCTCCTGGATTCAATGTTGGGAAACTCAGATCCAAAAAATGGTACATGCGTATATTTTTCCATATTATTGATTTGATGACTGTCAATGCGTGGCAATAATTTAGCTCTGGCAGATTGCAAAATGGCAGTAGCAGAGAGTTTATGCAAAGTTAATAAAGGTGGTTTTACTACAAAAAGGGGTCGTCCCTGTGGAGTTATGGAAAATTTACAACACAAGAAAAGAAGGGGTCCAGTAACCGATATTCCAATGCAAGATGTAAGAACAGACGGATATGGTAATCTTCTATTATGGTGTAGTGAAAGGCAAAGATGCAAATATCCCTGTGATTCAAAAAGCTTCATAAAATGAGAGAAGTGTAATGTTTTTCTTTGCTTAAATAAAGATAAAAATTATTTTTACAACTTTCACACTGAATAATTATTATAATTAATTTTATATTAATTATGTTTAATGCATAGTTTGCCATATATGACACATAAAAAAAATAAAATAATACAAAAAACTAAGCAAGTAGGATTTTTTTATCTTTTTAACGTAATCTTGAAATCAAGTTTGTAATCATAGATTTTTTTATAAAAAAAACATGCAGTAAGGGGTTAATGATAAAATTTGTTTCTGTTAATATAGAAGAGGTATTAAGCAAATATTTCACTTTCTACTAAAAACTTTGGGAGTGAGTAACTAAACGGTCGTAGAATTATTGAACAGCTCTCCAAAACTTACCTTCAAACTTGCAAGTAAACACGGCAGGTCTTCCGAAATCGATCGTTTGAATCGGGGGGTCGATTTTTGCTTTCAATGGAGCTGTCACAGTCAGCACCGTTTCCACACTTTCTCCACCAACGGAATTATTAACAACGCATAAATATTTTCCGGAATCTTCCACTTTTGCTTCTCTAATGATGAGGGTGCCGGCCACTTGTTTTACTCTGTCGTTCAAGATAACTGCTTGTTTGCGGTTTGTACCGTCGATAAATTTATACCACCTGTAACAAAAAGAAAAGATATTTTAGATTAAGAATATAATGCTGTTATAGTTTAAAAATAATTTAATTATAAAGGAGGTACGTCAAGAACTGAATGAAAACTGTAAAGGAACAACAGAAAAAACTGTCAAGCTGAATCAAAACTGTAAAAGGACAAAAGAAAAAATTGTCAAAGATAGAACAACGGAAGATTTAGGCAAGATATGAAACCAGCTAAACGTGAACGAACAAAACCTGAGCAAACAAAAAAACCCTGGATGAACAAAGAAATTCTTAAGTTAATTGACGAGGGAAGATAGTGCAAGAGCACAAATAACAATAAATATAAAGAGGTACATGGACTGATAAAAAGAAAAATAATTAAAACAAAATATAATTGGATGATAGTGATGCAACAATCAATACAGCTGTATTAAGAGACATTGTGTGCAGAAGCAAGCATCTAGGATTGAAAAGTTTATAAAACCGAATGATGTTATGTGGTGAGAAAGAAAACGAAGAGAATATTGGATAATTAACATGTAACGAGAGTAAAGGAAGAAAGAAGTGCAATAATTGTAAGCGATGGAAAACCAAAGGGAAAAAGTCACCCAGGAAGACCACCAAAGAGATGGCAATACAGCTGATCTTCGGAATAAAAAAAAGAGTAAATATTTCGCAGTAAACACGGGTCATAGACGTAACGTGTAAAGTAGAAGAAGAACTGTGTCAAGAACTAGAGTTTACAATGGAAGCAGCATACAGGACTTAAAAGAAGTTAGATATAACAACATAAAATATAAACGAACTTACTAGCATACCTTAGTAAATTGTCTGCTCTATACTAAATTAGAAATAAAATATGCAGTATGAAACATGTAAAATGGGAAAGTTTCAACTATCGATAATATTTATACAGATATTATGCAACAAGCTTCATATACCTGGGCAGAGAGCTAAACAGTCAGCTAGACCACTCAAAAGAAATTAGAAGACGTATTGAAATAGCAAGATCTGGCTTCATGAACATGCGTAAAATGCTCTGTAACCCCAAGCTATCAATCACAATAAGGTTAAGAACACTAAAGTGTTATGTGTGGTCTCTACTACTATATGGCTGTGAGACCTGGACATTAAAACAGTATGACGTCAACAAACTGAATTCATTCGAAATGTGGATGTACCGCCGAATGCTAAGAATAAGCTGGACCAGCAAAACTACAAATGAAGAGGTACTGGAAATAATGAACACACGACCTCATCTGGTTAATACAATCAAAATTAGAAAGACGTCATATCTAGGACACATAATGCGCCATAAGGAATTTGAGCAGCTCCAGGTAATATTAGAAGGCAAAATCGAGGGTAAAAGGGGTATAGGAAGAAAGAAGAAATCCTGGCTCCGAAACATCAGAGATTGGACTCACACAACAGGAAATGACTTAATCCATCAAGCCCAGAACAGAGAGAAATTTGCCATATTGATCGCCAACCTCAATAGAGAAGGCAATCGAATAGGAAAATTTAGATTTGTTCACTCAAGTCTTTACCAACATATATAAAAAGCCAAATTTTCTAGGAAATGAATATAAACTTTTTCTTCTCCTAGCACAAACTAGAACCGACAAAAAACTTAAACTGTCACAGGTACTGAAACTAATTCTAAAAATTATTGATACTTTGGCTTCAAAGTAGACCTAAGAATACGAAAAAACAGTAAAAACTATTAAAGACAGTGAACAAAAACCTTTTTCACGTAAAAAGAAGATGAAAAATAAGCCGAAAAACCAAGAGATCGATGGAAGAAGGTAGAGATGCGCGGAAGCGGAACGCCAACAAAAGAAATGATTTAAAAGCACATAACAAAACAATATTACAATCTATTAGAACATTAGAAAGACAATCATACTGTACAGAATTAGCTAAAGGTTTAAGCAAATGAAGATTTTATGTCTGCCTGTCAAATAAAACAAAGCTGAAACTGTGTGGCCTACAAGACGAAAACAGAAATAGAAGTAGAAAATTGTAGACCGATTAATTTGTTAAACACCTATATAATCTGATCATCAGTATTGTAAAGACATGTTTGGAAATCAATCTGGACTTTTACCAACCCAAAGAACGAGCTGAATCATTAGGCTTGTATCAAATCCTGAGATCGAGTATAACCGAGTATCCTGACTATCATGTCGAGTATAACAGATCGTTAACTCTAGCTTTCGTCGATTTTGGCAGACTTTCAACAACATTGCCATCGATATTAGAACCTACCGCTCCTACCGCTCACAGATACACGATACTAACGGTAAAATTACATGATTCTACAAATAAATTGAACGAGGTATCAGGCAGACATTACCTGATTACTACAAAACTTTTTTAACTACTCTTGAAGACGTCAATCAAAAATCTCAACTGGGATACCAAAAGAATAACGATTCAAGGAGTAAAGTTAAATTATCTTTGTTTCGCGAACGATGTAATCCTTATACACGTTATTAGAATGGCAAAAGTAGGCAGAAGGTATCGTCAGACTTGAGGAGATTGTGTTTACATGCAAGATATTGGATCGGAGACCAAGAACTAATGAACGTAGTAGAAGACAAACACTAAAGCGCAGAATTGATAATATTAATAGAACTAGTTAAAACCGCTTGAGATCGAGAGTGGATGGAAAAGATTGGGCCGGGTATATGTCCAGCAGTGGGCATAAAGAGCTGGATCATGATAACGAAACTGATGATGATGACTTTACATATACAGATATCTTCCTTTTTCTTCTTCCTTTCTTGTATGTAGACTTTAAAACCTGTTTCTTCTTCAATATTAGCCTCATAAATTGTTTAAATTATCGCACCATCTTTTTCTTGGTCTGCCAATACTTCTTCGTCTATTTGGTGACTTATCTCGTGCTATTCGTACTATCCTATCCTCTGCCATTCTACTAATGTGTTCGTTCCACTCCTGTTTCCGTTTTGTCACCCATCATTTATGTCTTCTATATTGCATGCTCTTCTTATGTTTTCGCTTCTCTCCCTATCCAACAGACTTTTTCCTGATATTCGTCGGAGTATTTTCATCTCTGTTGTTTCTAGTAGTCGTCTCGTTTTAGATGTGTCAGGTCTTGTCTCTGCCGTGTATGTTAATATAGGTCTAATTGCTGCTTTATAGATTCTTGTTTTTTGTCTTGTCTTAGGTGTTTGTTCTTCCAAATTGTGTCATTAAGAGATCCCGCCGCTTTACTTGCTTTTAAGCTTTGTTGTCGTACTTCTTCTTCAACATCTCCGTAACTAGTTATATCTATTCCCAGATATCTAAACCTTGCTTCCTGCTTTATTATTTTCCATCAATTTCGATTTTACATCGTAGTGGGTATTTAGATGTTGTCATACATTTGGTTTTTTCTGCTGATATTATCATATTGTATTTCTTGGCTGTTGTATTGAAGATGTGTGTTAATCTTTGGAGCTCGTCTTCTGTCTCGGCGATTAATGCGGCGTCGTCTGCATAACATAATATTTGGATTTCTTTGTTCCCATTCTGTAGCCATGACCTTTACGTACTGCTTGTATTATTTCGTCCATTATTATATTAAAGAGAAGTGGGCTTAACGAGTCACCCTGTCTGACTCCGCTTTGTACTGGTATACACTGTGTTAGTTTTCCATTTATCTTTGCCTGTATTCGATTATGGAAGTAGATGTTTTCGATGGTTTGTATAATATTGATTGGAATGTTTCTTTTATACAGTAGGTGTAAGACGTTCGACTTGGACGCGATCGAAAGCTTTTGTCAGGCCTATAAAACATAGATATTCTATATACAGATATCTAGACTACATATTTCCACAACTATATAATTAGGCAGTGGAAGATACCTTTAAAACGAGATAAACACCATAATAATGAATGATAGGAGGAACAAAACCTTAGGAATCTTGAAAGATATTTAAAAGAGGGCATAAAAAAAGAGGGCACTTTTTTCATAGAAAAAGAGACGCGCAAAGACAAAGAAATCGTCGCCAAAAGTATTAAATATCAATATTAGAAAAGGAAATTGGAAAGGTCATAATAAAGATAAAGAATAAGATAGCGCGAGCCCGAAGGTATATTACTTAAGTCTACATAAAAAAATCTATTCATAAATAACGAACTTGATCAACATAATGGTACTAAAAAGAAAAATAAAGCAAGCTACAAAGGGTACAATCGGTAGATAGATCATGTACTGACCATTTACACACTAGAACGACTGCTAGAAAATAAAAAAAGCAAAAACAATAATAAATGTACGGTATTTGTAGAATTTAAGAAGTCTTACGACTGATAACCAAGATCATAACACTGTGAAATAATGCACAGAATATCTTACAACCCTACAAGAGAAGATCAAATATTGGCACATCAACAGAAAAATAAATTAAAACGGGAGGCCATTGAACTCGACAAGCAACCCGATTGTGTCAACAAACAACAGCACCTGGTCACCTTAACAAAGATCATATAATAAAATTACTTGTCGAATAATGTAAAATCGTAGATATATGTAATTTCAATGGATCATAAACTGTAGGATATGTCTACAATAGAAAGCAGCTAAAATAAAAAAACATATAACAAATAGTAACATATAAAATAAAAATAGTAATCCGAGCTTCCAATAAAACATTGTTGTAAATATATAACACAAAAGTTGTTTTATTTTCTGTGAATAAAACTGTTACCTAAAATACGGAACAGGAAATGACTGAGCAGGGCATAGAGCGACTGCTGAATTTCCTGCTTTAACAACTTTTATATTGATGGTCCTCGAACTGAGCTGGGGTCCTACTGAGCCGGTCGGTTCTATAAATAAAACATAAATTAAATATCCTACCTTCTGGTTGGTACCCTTGCCGGTGAGAAGTGTTAAATTTAAAATAAAATTTTAGAACGT